GTCTTCAAGGCTTCTTCCTCCGTTTGAGCCGACAAGGACAACTTCCTGGCTGGCTGGCTGGCTGGCTGGCTGGCTGGCTGGCTGGCTGGCTGGCGGCTGGCTGGCTGGCTGGCTGGCTGGCTGGCTGGCTGGCTGGCTGGCTGGCTGGCTGGCTGGCTGGCTGGCTGGCTGGCGGGTGTACCAGACATGGAGTTGGGGACCGTCAGGCAACGACGATGCTGTTTCAATGGCATGGCGCCGACATCTGGAGTACTGGCCTTCGACTTCGCCTTGGACTTCGCCTTGGCGTGGCTTCTACATGTACAGAGAAACTAGGACAGAAATTGTCCTTCGACTTCGCAATGGCCTTCCAAGATGTATGTTGTGTCGATATTTGCCTCATTGGGCACGGGGAAACAAGTGCTTCCTTGGCTGTAGGATGACAGTGAGAATGTCGCTGTCAGATGTTCGACCTCGGATGGCATGTCGCCGCCTGACTGCGACACGAAATACTGTCGTGCGTACTGCTCTGTGGTATAGGAGTGCGCGCGCCCTGTTAAGCAGATTTTGGGTGCAGTTTGGTTTTAGGGATGTGTTCGGGGCCGGAACCTGAAATCAAGCCTGCGCAAAATCATGTGTCGGGGGAGGGCAGGCCACTGGCCACCTTCGTTGCTGCAATTGTATTTCCAAGGAACGTACAGTTATCCCGAGGCACGCTCGGATAACCCGGATCCGCAGCTTGAGGCCGCGAAGACGTGAGTTGCGGTAGCTGAACATGGTGCATGCCACATGCGTGTCCAATGCCTTTGACATGAATACACATTCATATATGCTGTGCGTGCCGTGTGTATGATGATGACAGAGTGTGTCACGATTAGTGATATGTCTTTATATGGCCCCTACACCCTAAACCTTAAACCCTATAGTTTTCAGAGCTGTGTACCAAACAATGATGATGACAGGGTGTGTCACGATTAGTGATATGTCTTTATATGGCCCCTACACCCTAAACCTAAACCTTAAACCCTATAGTTTTCAGAGCTGTGTATCAAACATCGAATCCAAATCTGAGCCTGCGCCGCCATTGCTGTGCCATCGCAAGCATGCCGAAAGTTTGTGCATGGCCGATGCAGAAACACAGCGGCAGCGAACGTCGCATTCGAAGCAACCGTTCGCTCTGCCTTCCAGCGGCTTGCTTTGGTGCCTGTATCCTCGCTTTGTAGAAGACGGGCGGCATGTCTATGTTACTCGCCAGTGTTATTTTGCGTACTTCGATGTGCTGTTGGTAAGGAAGCCTGACAGCTTTCAGTGCTGGGCCTGTTAGGCCCCTATGCGCATCAAAGACCAATCCTCCCAGCCTCAACAACCTTAGAGTGTTTGCTTTGGAGTGTTTGCAAATGCGAACCAAAGGACAGACTGTTGGTAATCGATGTGGCAAATGGCGTTCAGTTCGCTGGGGGGTTGCAGCCGGAGCTTCTCTCAACGAAGCCGGCCGCGCACAGCGACTTGAGGAAGGTGCGTCACTTGAGTGCATTGGAGCATGCCGACGTTCGCTTGCTCTTCGACATGCAGCCGAGCTTTCACTGTGCTCTCTCACGCCAAACCATCGCGTGGGGTACTTTCTTGGAGCAATTTCCGGTGCCGCGACAGTCATCACCTTCACATTTCAGACATGTGTTGGATGGGAAGTCGTTGCCAGGTATTGGGGCAGTGCAGTTTCCTGAGGCGCTAGATGCTTTGCCTAACCAGCTGACACCTGTGCAGCTTGGGCAGTCGCAGCCACAGGCGGCGCAGGACCGACAACTTGCTTCAATCGCCGGCAGCAGTGGTGACAGGGAGACCCCGATCTCTGGAACAACACCGACGCGAGTGGAGAAACTACTGCAGCAGATCGTCCAAGCAGCCGAGACCGGCAACGTGGAATTGGTTCGCAACCGGTGCGCCGTGCTCGGGCAGGAGCTCACTGTGCCAAATGCGAAGGTGTCACGAGCCAAGGGAGGAGGACTTGCCTATCGTGCAGACTTCATGCTTCATAGCGTCCTGCTTGCCGACCATGTGAGACTTGGCGGCTTTGACGACGGACGACTTATTTTTTCGCTAATACGGTGTCATGCCAGATGTGTCACACCGTTGTCCCGTGCATAAGTTGTCGAGAGAGTTCTATGTTGAATTTTTTTGAATCTGCTGCGGAGGAAAGATCCAGCCGAGCTGGCCGAAGCTGTGCGATCGCAACCTGACCTTGGTCCGGTTTGCGGGAACAGATTCTTTTAGGAAGGTAGCCTAGGCAGGGGGTAAGTTGGGTTTGTGTGGGTAGTCAGGGCTTGAAACTGGAAACGCTGTTTCTGTTTAGAGCAACGTCAGCATTGTCAAGACGGTGATGCCAAGGGCACTGAAGATGTCCTTGTCTCCCACGCTTTCGGCGCATCTTCTGCAGCAGCCTCTGCCGGCCCCATCACGCTGGGCCCTGAATCGGTGGAGGCTTGAGCTGGATTATGCTTGCATGATTTTTTGCCGGAGACATCTGCTGTCGGTGGACACTGATTGGTTTGTCCACGTCCGAGCAGATGCCTCTCCGCAAGGGGGGCGCGACTTCCTGGTCTGCGAGTTGGACAGGTGCGTGATCCCGCAGCGCGACGCACAGCGCCTGTCCGACCCGCAGATCACGGAAGTCGAGATCAGCACCCGGCTGCTTCCTCTGGCCATAGTGGGTGCCAAGGCTGCGTCGGCCAGCCACAAAGCCCTGCTGCTCATGAAAAGCCTTTCCTTGGAAAGTGAGAGCCTTCAGGAGACGCTTCGCCGGACAGTTGCGCTTTTGTTTGATTACGGAGCTGAAAGCGGCATATGGAAGCTCTCGGCAGCACCCTTTTTGGATTCAGCAGAAGCAGCACATTTTCACTCTCCTTTCGCCGTGGTGCCAGCAGCAGATCCACGTGGGTTGCAGGAGGCCGAACTTTGCCGCCTGTTTCCACGGGCACTGCCTCTTGCAGATGGAGACCACGCCCTGCACCACGTGTCTGTCCTTGTAAGAACGGCTGGATCGATGATGAGTTTGGGAATGTCGGGTGTAGGGAGTGTCTAGTCCGTCTAGTCTTCTAGATTCATGTCTCACCGATACAAGTACTGAGTAACTACTGTGCTTGGCTTTGCTCTGGGGTAGGTCCGCGGCCCCAAGGTGATGTGTGAGCTCAACGCTTCATTTGCAGCCTGGGAGACGTTCAAGGAGACTGTCTCCGCCGTGGCCAAGGCATTTGGGACCTTTCATAAACTCGATAGGTTCCGGGACATCTGCATTCTGCAGAACGATGCCGTGCCCAAGGCGACGGGTGGTTAAACTTGCGTCTCTTCTGTGCGGCCGCAGCTTAGTGAGCTTAAGCTTATCGGTTTGTTTTCGGCACTATCGTGATCTAATGTTCGGCAGGAGCACAAGAAGCAGATGGCGAGTCTTTTCAAGACCGTCTGCCCATCCTTCGTCGAACACCGATGGCAATATCTTTTCGAAACATTGTCCTGGATCGCCCCAAGACAACAATGCTTGGCTTACTTGAAACTGGAAGAGCTATCAGGAGGACGCGACGACGGGGACGGTCAGGACGCTGCTGTGCTGAGCTCAAAGCAACTGGAGTTGCTTGCTGGTTTGTGTGGAGACGCTGTCCAGAATGTGGACGCGTTGAAATTCTGGGCACTGACTGGGTTGGCAAGGCTGTTAGCAGATTGGGGACAACGATTTAGCTGGAGCTTGCACAGCTGCCCATGCCATCCCCGCCGCTTGCGGCGATCAGAGGTGGATGACGCGGATAAGACTGCTCAGTCGGGCAAGCGCGGTGGTAAGACCGTGCCGTGCCCAATGGAAGGCCGCATGTGTGTGCCCTTGGCTGCTGGCCTTGCAGAGGTGGCGATACAGCGCCTGAGCGCCATCGGCATCCCCGCGCATGTGCAGCAGGCGCTCAGGCAACTGGAAGCAGCTGATGCTGGCGCAGCAAGTGAGCTGATGGATGGTTTCAAGACTGCCGTGTCGCGCATATCTTTCCGCATGAAGCAAGCATTCGGATATTGGAAAGAGTTGCCGTGGGCCTTGCTTGTCATCATGCGGCCTTGGGTGGAGTACTTCTCTTCTTCGGAGGAAGCATTGTCTTGCCAGAAGGAATGCCGTGAAATGGCACTGCTATTGCTCCGACAGCATGATGCTACAGTCAACAAGGCAGCACTGGGCGCCTCTTGTCTTGCCATATGTGTCTGTGTCTGTACAAGCATATATAGTATAAGATATCGCACGTGTCGCTTCTAGCACACACATGTGTGGTGGAATTTGCGGCATTAGGACTGCTCTCGCGCAGCTAGGTCGCAGGCGTTCTTTCATTGCTTGGTCCCATGTTGGCTATGAAAGAGAATGGGAGAGAGAAACGATGGAGAGAGGGGGAGAGAGAGAGAGGGGGGGAGAGAGATAGAGAGAGAGAGCGAGAGAGCGAGAAAGAGAGAGAGAAAAAGAGCGAGAAAGAGAGAGAGAGAGAGAGAGAGAGAGAGAGAGAGAGAGAGAGCGGGCGAGCGAGAGAGCGAGAGAGCGAGAGAGCGAAAGAGCGAGAAAGGGGGAGAGCGAGAGAGCGAGAGAGGGAGAGAGAGGGAGAAGAGGGAGAGAGAGAGAGAGATAAAGGCCGAGACATGGGATGTGTGGAGTGCAGAGTGCAGGTAATCTCTTTCCGATTCCTCAACGCAAGCGGTCCATTTCGTGCCCATTTGGAGGCGTGGGCCACGTCGCAAGTGCAAGAGATGCACCCGCCAATGTGGCACGAACTCATGGCATACAGCACTGGTCTCTCTGTCATGCAACGGCTCGAAAGCCGGCATTCCCTTCTGAAGCGCTTCTTGGGATTTCGGTGGCGACAGTTGCCTGCGACTTTGTCAGCGACAGCCAGGCGCAGGCAAAACAAGGATCTTTCGTCCCCTTTGTTCCAGCAGCATCTGGAGGAATGCTTGGCCAACATCGGCGAACTTTGGCAGGGCACTTGGAGGTCAAAAACCGAGCTGCTGCAGCAGCTGGCGCAGTCGAGTGCGCAGGCCATTCATGATCCTTTGTCGGAGATACGACTTGGGCAACAAAACTTCTCTGACACTTTGGCCCGCCTGTGTTTGTCGGGCGATGCTGCACCGGACGCCGACAACGAGCCTTCCAGCCTCATGCGGGAACACGTGCGTGCTGCGCTGGAACGCCACAAGGTTTGCGGGCTGAAGGGTTGTCTTGAAGAAGGGAAGTGGTCGATATTTAGGGTCGTTCACACTAATGCCGGCAGCAACATGACTCTGCAGCGCGCGAGTCATATTTCTACAGACGTTTCTTAGTCGCAGTCTGCAAACTTCAGAACTTGTTTGGTTTAATTGCAAAGCCATGCAGAAGGTGGCGTTGAAACATCAAGCCCCACCAACTCAATATATGACAAGGACTGGAAGCACTGCGTGGCTGTGGAGGTCTTTAATGAACCCTTGGTCGGGGACACGCCGCCGGAAAATTTGGCGGTGCAATCGCACCAGGTCATTCCCATGGCGTATGCAGCCATTTTCAAGCCGTCGTGCCACCTGCACGACTTGCGCGTCTACGAGAACGAAGCTTGGCATGACAGTCATTTTTGAAACGGCGCAAACCCCAAGATGGGGTTCATGGACTCATGCGCGATTTTTATGGAGGATACCATCGGATCCTAGCTTCCCGGGGCTGGTTGGCTGATTGACTGACTGGCTGCCTGTCCGAGACAGAGATATTAATGTTTAAATGTCATCCACCTACACAGATCCAAGGTTGTGTCGGCGCCAGTTTTCTGCGAGTCCTTCTTCCTTGGTATGCTCGAAGATATTGATTACATCCCTGACTCGGACACGCTGCCACCTGTCCGATTAATAGCGAGAGTGGAGATGTGTTGCCTGTTGACCCCCGCCAGAGGCAGTCTGTTCGAGATCTTGCCCAAGCGGCAATATCAAAAGGCACAGTGGTGTGCGCGACTGAAGGCAGTGATGATCATGCGCTCGCCGCTGCTGAGTGGATGCAGCAGAGTGGCATGCTGTCCGAGCAGGGACACGTGGCTGAGTCGTTTATATCGGTTCAAACGGTGGTTAGCCGCCCTGTGCTGCGCGGTGAATGTGCTTCCAGATTCTCGCTTAGCAAAGCGCTTGAGGGTTGCGGGTGGCGAGCCTCCACTGACAAACTGAGACCTTCCATGCGGCACAAGGTCTTTAATGGGGCTCAGGCGCTCGAATACTTTCAGCTTCTACACCGGCACCGTGATGCTGTGTGCACCTTTGATGATGCATACAATTTTCGGCATTCGCAATCGAGAGCTTATTACGACGCCATACTGACTTCGTTTCTCAACCGCCCCGAGGACAGTAACAGCACGATACATTTGAATTCATGCGAGTATGTAGGGAAGACTTGTGCGTGCAGCGAGCCAGTATAGTTAACAGCTAGCTTTAGCTTGCCGGCCAGGGTGCGCCCGTCCAGTACATCGCTCCTGGGCAAAAGGCGGACTTCTACAAGAGTCTCCGAAGTTTCTTCACAGGCCGCGTGCAGACAGCCTTGTATCCACTGCCTGGGTTGCCTTGTTGTTAATCAAGCAGCGTAAGCAACGCCTGTGGCAGGTGCTGTTGCTGATGATCCACGTGTAGCTCTCGAGTTGCTGGAGCCCAAGCGCCGCGCAAGACGGAGACGATGTGATCAGGACGAGCCGGGCAACGTTGCAGAAGCTGATGGGGCTGCGGTGCAACATGCTGATGCAGCTGCGCATGCACCAGAGCCACAGCCACAGGTGGACGCAGTCGGCCCGCCTGACTCAGATCCAGTCGCTGCGTTGTATGGTCCGATTTGTGACGACATGCTTGAGCTGCCTCGCCCTCCACACAATCATGATGTTCAGCCAGAGGGCGCTGAGATGGAAGATGCAGGTGACAGTGATGTCGAGTCTCATGGCCCCGGCGAGGCTGCACCGCGTCCAGATGAGGACGACATTGCCGTGGCAGCGCATCGCACATTGCATGCGAACCGATCCCCGTCTCTACCTGTGAGATTTGCATTGGTCTGCGGCATCTGTGGCTTGAACTAAGGAGAAAATGCCCTTGCCACATGTGAAGAGATTGGCCGCAATTACCACAGAACAGAGACAGCCAGTCGTGTTCAAGCTGTGCGGACAGTGCTGGTTCATTTGGCTGATATTTTGCTGGATCCGGCGCACGCCGCAGCTTCCCCTTTCAAGCAAGTGAATGAGGCCAGGTGGCAGGATGCCTGTACCTAGTGGCTTGCCGCTGTCGCTGCATGAGTCTTGTGCCAGGCTTTGCGGCGCCTGGAAGCACAGGGTGGCATCTGTCGGGTACTTACCTACCGGTGCAAGTCTTGTCGAACCTATTCCCTTTGCTATTATGTGCGCTGCTGCAGTCTTCCGGAGTGCATGACAGTCCCAGTTTCGTTTCTCCTTTGCGATCTGTGGTCGAACGATTCAGCTGAGGTTGGGGTGTCAACTTGCTATGGTCACGGCGACGAACGTTACTCGACCTGCTGACCACGTATTACGAGCCCTTCAAGGCCGAATTGCTGAACCCGCCACCGTGACGCGAAAGTCGCATGATAAAAGCATGCCCCGAGGTCTTATCAGTTGCGTTAGAGTGTACCTGCGGGTACGGTATGGTTGCCCCTGGAACCAACATCCGTTTCGCCTGCGAGGTTTAGATTTTGATCTGTAGCTCCGAGAACCCGGGGGGTTGATTTCGGATATTTTCGTTTGTTACCACTTCGATCTGAGGTGTAGGGCTTGGCCCTATGACGTGGCAATGTCGGCAAGATGTTGAGTTCAGACTCATGTGTTGGGTGTCCGTGTAGGGTTTAAGATTGAAGTTGGAGTGTCGGGTTTTTGCTTAGGGGTCTTGGGTTTTGCAGTTTCAATCTGTTGGGCTTCTGTGTAGGGATTGCGTTTGGTTTAAAGTTTAAGGTTGTAAGGCTCAAGCTCCTTATGTTTCGAGTTTAGGGTTCGCCTTGAGGATGGCGAGCCTGGGCTGTGGGCTGTGGGGTGTAGGGTTGAAGACTGACTTTACGGGTGTCGGGCTTTTGCTGCGGGGTGCTGGGGGCATTCGGTTTGAGGGCTTTCGAGCTTGGGCTATGGGGTGTAGGATTTGCTTGTAGCGTTCAAGATTTACTGTGGGGTGGGGTGTCGGGCTTTTGTTTGGTTCACAAACCGTATATGATTATGTGATTTCGTTTCCTTTCCTTACTACTTCCGTAGCATGATGTGTGGTCCTGGTGATCGTGCCGGCGTTGAAACGTTCGGACTTGATAATTGGTCACCTTCCTGTGTGGTTAGTGCCTCCGCCAGGACGGCAAGGCCTCTATCTCCATCACTATCCAGTGAGCAGTCACTAGGGTCTAGAGTTACGTGCTGTTAATGCAAAGGTCCGGGTGTCCGGAATAAAGCCCGCAGGTTGCAGGTTTGTGATGATTGCGTGCAAAACTCTGCCAGCCGCCCCTCAGACTCTCAGATCTGTCTGTTTGTAGTGTTGTTGCATACAGTCATGATTCGTGTGATCTGGTGAGGAAGTAAACCCTAAACTTTACCCTAAACCCCAAAAGCACGCCTCCGAAAACAAGGCCTCCGATAGAAAGTAGGACGGGGCACGGTAGGGCAGCAATGCAATGTTGAGCCGAACGTTTTGGCTTCGTGTGGTCATTATGCGTCGTGAAGAATAGGTGAGGTGACTATAGAGGCATCGTTTACTGGTTTAGAGCCCAGCCACGTGTGGTGGTTTGCGGGCCATGTTCCGGGATGTGTCTCCTGAAGGCCCAGATTGGGGATCCTGGCCAGGGCCTGCTGATCGTGGTTCCCAACCGAAGAGAAAGCACAGGCATTCCGACGACTCTCACTCTGGAGTGCAAGTGCCCGAGGAGGGCCCGGGAGATCGGAGCAAGGATAGAGGCTTGACAACATCCCCGATTCTGGTGCAAGCTTTTCAATTCATGCAAACTTTCATGTCTGCTGCTCGTCGCCTGGTCCGTGCATCCGCCACCGCGACCTCTTCTGTTCCAGACGTGGCATGGTCAGATGCTTGTCGCTTCAGGTTTGGGAGGTTGTGACGGGAGCTCGGGACAGGGTCAAGCGCTGGCGTTGTTGTGATCTTCGATATCCGAGGAAATTTCCATTTGGTCCGAGTTTGCAGGCTATGGGACGGCAGAGATCGCCGCCCAGTCAGCAATTGCACATTATCCGCTTGGGAGTTGCCAGCCCAGGCTAAAGTTCATGGCGTCTTCAGATTGCTCTGCCAGCTGCCGATCTATCCTTGCAGCCAGCCGCCCTCAGTCCTGCATTTTCGGGGACATTGAGGGCCTTGTCCCTCCTGAGGTTTTGAAGGACATGAAATCTTTGGTGAAGGAGCATGTGGAGATAACATCCTCGGATGTAGCAAAGGCGAAGTTAGCTTGTGGATCACAATCCATAAGCCATCTGTTTCGGAATCAGGTGTTCAAGCGCGACTTGGGATGGGTTCGTTCAGGATCCAAGTTGCTCGGTGTTGGTGATTTGGCCATACCTGCCAACTCCAAGCTTTACGATGGCCTCCCTCCCGACGAGCAGCAGCGATTGTTCGACCAAGCAGTTGTGGCACTGCAGGAGACACCCAGCCGTTTTGTGTCCCGCAACTGGTTCGCAGCAAGCATCCACCCACAGCCATCTCGCCCCCGCGCTGACAGGAGCTTCGGTCCGGCAAGCTCACCCTGCTGATTCTCAGGCGGTGTCTCGTCTGGGAAGTGAGGCTTTCGAATCTTTGGCGCCGTGGGAAGTTTCCGGGTAAAAGGGTGGGGCTCAGTTGAGGCACTGAGGCTAGGGCCCAGAGCGGCTGTGACGGTTCTACAAATTCAACTTCTTGGGCTCTTGTAGGGGTTGGATTGAGTTTAGGTTGTAAGGTTCAGGTTTTATGTGGTGTTGGGTTGTGTATAGGTTTCGCGTGGCAGTGCTGGGGTTTGGTGCGCCTAGTGTTGGGATTGAGTTGGGTTAGGTTGTAAGGTGCCGGCACCTTGTGTTTAGACTTCAAGTTTCGGTGTGGGGGCTTTTCCGGCTTGTGCCACATGGTTTCTGTGTAGGATTTACTTTGGGGGTGTAGGGCAAATTTAGTTTAGGGTTTGGATTTAGTTTAGGTGGTAAGGTTCTTGTTGTTTCAGGTTTGTTCCCCTGTGTTCGTAGGGTGTGGGGTGTGTGGGGGTGCGCGCGCGCGTGTGTGTGTGTGTGTGTGGGTGTGCGTGGGTGTGTGGGGGTGTGTGGGGGTGTGTCGGGGTGTGTCGGGGTGTGTGGGGGTGTGTGGGGGTGTGTGGGGGTGTGTGGGGGTGTGTGGGGGTGTGTGGGGGTGGGTGTGTGGGGGTGTGTGTGTGGGGGTGTGTGTGTGGGGGTGTGTGTGNNGGGTGTGTCGGGGTGTGTCGGGGTGTATGGGGGTGTGTGGGTGTGTGTCGGGGTGTGTGCGGGGTGAATGCTGCGAAGCAGCACTATGGTATACCATGGGTCTGGGCGCCCTATGGTATACCATGGTGGTTCACCCATCGGGTGAACCACTATGGTATACCACCTTTGGTGGTCGAGGTCTTATGGTATACCACAGGCCATGGTATACCATAGGGGCTTTCCCCCCCCCCC